TATTAAAGAATTTGTGGAGAGATCCGATAATTTAGCTCATTTGCCTCTTAGACCAAATTCGGTGCCAAAAAACTAAATGACTTATTTTCTATTTGCTATCAGAATGTAGGGGGGTTTAATACAAAATTAACCAGTGTAAATACAGAAACTATTGGTTTCAATTATAATGTATTGGTTTTCTCCGAAACTTGGTTAAAAATATCTATATTAAATAGTGAAATTTCATGTTCAAAATATGAAATATTTAGAAAAGATCGTGTTTGTAAAAAAGGTGGTGGCGTCCTTATTGCAGTTGATACCAAATATACCACTAATTTAATTGATCTTAATGATTTTTTTGATATAGAATTTGTTGGTGTTTCCATTTAATTTGGCAAATCTAAATTGTTTGTGACTTGCTCTTATATTCCCCCTTCATCTTCACTTGACATTTATTATCAGCATTTATCAGTAATTAATTTAATCACTGAAAAAATGAAAAACTCCGATCGCATTCTGATCCTTGGTGATTTTAATATGCCTTCCATTAGGTGGCTTCCAATGCCAGATTCTGAAGCTTTGATTCCTTTGCCATCCGAAATGAACAGTACCCAGTATACATTTGATGTTATAAATAGTTTGTGTGGCTTAAATCTTTATCAAATAAATAGTGTGAAAATTTCCCACGGCAAAATTCTTGATTTGGCGTTTGTAAATATAACACAGCATTTTGATATATTCAGAATTCCTCCAATATGCACTCTTGAAGATATATACCATCCAACTTTATATATCTCCATGACTCACAGTTATGTAATTGAAGAAAGTCAGTCCGACTTATGTGTGCCTGTGTAACAGCCATAAAGATTTAGAATATATAATTGATAAATTTTATGATATTTTAAATAGATTCAAACTGGAATTTGGAACACACTAGAGTTAAAAATTCAAATAAATATCCATGGATAACCCGTGAGTTATCAAGTTTAAAGAATTCTAAAATTAAGCTTTTTCGTAAATATAAAAAATCAGGCTTAACAATAGACTACACTAATTACTCTGTTGCTAGATCTAAATATACTTTAGAGTCTCGTAGATTGTATAATCTTTACCTAGACAAGATTAAAAATAATTTTAAATCCAATCCTAAATCTTTTTATGATTTTGTTAATCTAAAACGAAAAGTTTCCTCAAAGCCCCCAGTATTGAAATATAACAATAAAGAGTTTGTCACAGGCACAGATATTGCTGAATGTTTCGCAGATTTTTTTGCCCCAACCTATTCCAGTACCTCTTGCCAAATTAAAGATTCGTATCCTTATAAGTTATCACAGGCTGATCAAATTTGTATGCATTTTCTATATCGTCAGGATGTGTCCAATAGTCTGCGTAGTTTAAAATCGATTAAATGTCCAGGCCCGGATGGCATACCTAATATAATTCTTAAATATTGTTCAGAAACATTAGCACTTCCGTTAACTATATTGTATAATTATTCACTTAAATTTGGTCACTTTCCTACTTTCTGGAAAAAATCTTATATTATACCTTTACATAAGTCTGGTAGTCTTACTAATGTGTCAAATTATAAAGGAATTGCAAAATTGAGTGCCATTCCAAAATTGTTCGAAAAATTAATTACTGCAGTAATTTCACAGAAAATTCAATCTATATTGAGTCCATATCAGCATGGTTTTCATAGTGGTCTTTCAACTACAACAAATCTTATACAATTTACGCCAACAGTAATAAAAGGATTTGTTCAGCGTAAACAAACTGATACAATTTATACTAATTTTAGTAAAGCTTTTGATAGGGTTAACCATGAACTCCTAATATATAAATTAAATTATATGGGTTTCAACACAAACTTAGTCAAATGGGAATCATCTTACTTACAAGATCTATCCAAAACGATTAACGTTCCATCGGGTGTTCCGCAAATAAGTCACCTTGGACCGGTCCTCTTTCTTTTATTTATCAACGATATACCTAATTCCATAAATTACTCGAAATTGTTAATGTACGCAGATGATGTTAAATTATTCATTTCCCATAATTGTGATAAACGAGCTAGTTTACTTCAAAACGATTAGATAACCTTTTTGAATGGTGCAGGTTAAATTGTATGGATTTAAATTTAAGCAAATGTAAGCATATGTGCTTCTCCACATCTTCTTCTCTGATATTACAATATAATATTGACGGTCATTCATTATCAACTGTAGATTCATTTGTCGATCTAGGCCTCTTGATGGATCCAAAATTAAATTTTAATAACCATGTAATAACGATGGCAAATAAAGCAAATGGTGTTTTAGGTTTTGTTAAACGGTGGGCCAAAGAATTTTCTGTTATTTACAGTTATTTACGTCTCTTGTTAGACCTATATTGGAATACGGTTCTGTTGTATGGGATCCTCAATATGCAATATATTCAGATAAAATAGAATCCATGCAAAAACAATTTCTGCTATTTGCCTTACGGGGTTTACATTGGAATAGTGATTTTGTTTTGCCATCTTATGCTAGCAGGCTAAAATTAATTAGATTGCCTACACTTAAAAGCAGACGCATATGTTGAACTCCATGTTTCTACTAAAAAATATTAAATGGTAATATACCTTTAGATTTCCTAACCTCATCTATTAGAATTAATGTTCCGTTTAGATCTAGTAGAGACTACCAATTATTATATACTGATTTTCACCGCACGAATTATTCAATGGGTGAACCTATATATTATATGGAGGCTATGCCAAAGTGTGGACCTATATATACAATGTTTCGGCGCACGAACTAGGTCCCATTATGTCCTACAAATACCAATTTTCAGACAAATCCGTGAAAAATGTGGTAAAAATCATCAAAATACCGAATATCGGGAGGTACCGTTATTTGGGGCTATACCAAAACGTGGACCTATACATGCAAAGTTTCGCCACCGGAGCTAGAGCCCATTATAATCAACAAACACCAATTTTTAGACAAATCCATGAAAAAATGTGGCAAAAATCATCAAAATACCGAATATCGGAAGATACCGTTATACGGAGGCTATACCAAAGCGTGGACCTATACATGCAATGTTTCGTCGCTCGAACTAGGACCCATTATAACCAATTTTCAGACAAATCCGAGAAAAAGTGTAGCAAAAATCATAAAAATACCGAATATCAGGATGTACCGTTATATGGGGACTATACCAAAACGTGGACCGACATATCACATTTTCAATTCCAACCATCCTAGATATAATACAAATAATTTTAACGCTTTACGTCAAATAATGTGGGCTGTTTCGTGATTTCAACAGACAGATGGACATCGTTAAATCGTCTTAGAATTTTATGCTGATTATGAATATATATACATTATGGGGTCTACGACGAATATTTAGGGATGTTACAAACGAAATGACAAAGTTAATATACCCTCCTTTCCAAGGTGTATGGTTAATAAAGTCGAGTTTTCCAACTAACGAATATAAAATCAAACTTTGTTTGACACACGTTGATCACACAAGATCTGGTATGAAAAGCGTATAGAATGGACGACAAGGTAAATTACAGAAAATGCAGAGATGGGTATGCTTATTTGAAATGGCTTTACCTTCTTAATTTTACCATGATTAGAACATGGGTATTCTGTTTCTCAGTGGATAAAAACTACAAAAATTGCCTATACTGAACCACCTGAAATTAAGCCTTCCTATCTGAAATAGACAAAAAACCTTATCAATATATAAAAAAATGTATGTAAATAATTTTTAATAAAATCATCATTATGGTGTTCCTCTTTTATATCTCTCTCATTGTCTTTATTTGGATAGCCAGTTAAAATTTAAGGTGAGGCAAATATCCTTATAGTTTAGATTTAACAAAACGGTACAAGTTTATTTGATTGATAATGAAAGAAGACAATCCGTACAAAAATACAAAATTAAAATGTTAGGACCTTCTCTATATTATTTTTTACGTCATATACTTTTCGGAAATATGGTCATATTTTGAATTAATTTTTAAAAATTTTTTTACATCACTATTTTAAAGACTTTTTTACTGTAAAATACCGATAACTTCCTGCATTCGATGTTTCAATTTTAAAATGATCAATTTTGAAGAGAAAAACTAAATTACTACACTTCTAAAAACCAAAAACAATTTTTTCTTCCTCTTGGGAAAAGTGTAACATTTCTTAACTTAAGCACTTTATAATTAGAAAACTAAACAACTCATGATTGAAATTTCCGGTACTGAAGTAGAATTTTGCGTTGTGTATGAAACATTTGTTTCAAAAGACCAATTTTATTTTTCAATTTATCTTGTGATTTCAACGCTCTGTTCGACGGCAGAGTAGAGTTTGTGTGTGCGTTGTTATTGTGAAGCAATAAACACATTTAGAAATATAAAATTCATATTTTTCTTGTTTTCTTGTAAACTTGCGTATTCTTGTAATTGTGGAGAGATATCTGACACACACTGAAGGAAATGGTTTCAATTCTTAATAACGAAAATATGCAGAAAAATTCTATTTTGTTGGCATCTTCATAAAATTCTGATCATAAACAGCAGATACATTTTAAATTAAATTAAATTTCTGTGAAATAATTTTTTATTGATACTTTATGTAACTTCTTATTTAACTAAATTAAAGTAGATTTGTTTTGCTCTGTTGCAGAACCTGCAAGATTCTACTAGTTTTGCAGTTTTGTCGATATTATCTTGTACATTCTTGCAGTTCTGGAACAGATCAAAAATGTATAGCATTCCTCAATATTTAAAATTAAAAATCAAATGGATTTTTTTATTAAGGAAATGTGTCAGAACATTATTTTTTTTTACTAAGAATTCATAGCGCAATTTTAAAAGCAGGATGCAGAAGACATGATCAAGATGGGATAATGCTACTTCATCCCAGCCGTACCATTCCCTTAGAAATATCCTGACTTCTGCTACCCATATTAATGTAGCATTTCACATTTTGCTGGGAAGTCATATACCAAAATAATAATGCAAACTATTATATCTTTCTTAAACTTTATTTATTAAAAATGCTTAACAAATATTTTTTTAAATCTTTGAAAACGTTTTAAAATACAAATACAATTTTTACATAGATTGATAATTGAGAAGACAAAATGATTCCTTATGCGGGTTTTTGTTATGTTAACAAAAAAATAAACGGAACAATGTTTTTATCGCTTAAAATAAAAATAAATATTTATTACGGTAATACGAGGCTAAAATTGTATATTTGTTTATTTACAGAAATTCCATCCCTTGTTTCTTAACATGTTCCATTTTAATGGAAATGTCCACTAAAAAGAGAATATTATATTTAATAACGCATTTAATTATGCACATTAAAATATTAAATAATCATACAATAACGAATATCTTATTCTGAACGAATAGGCAAGCTACTTTGTTTTGTGTACGAGTGAATATATACGTATATATGGTAAAAACTCTTGTTTGACAAAATTTCAAATGTTACTGGGTGGGTAATATACAAGTATTCAAATTAAAAATAAATTATTTAGTGTAGTATCAAGAATATCGAAGCTTTAACGAATTAGTATTTAAAATTATTTATAACATTTTTATTTCGATCGCGCAGGCTCTCCAATTTACCGTTCAAACTAGGCGTGTTATGCTTTTTACGAGTAAGCGAACGAAGACAACGCTGATCTGAAAATTTTTGTGGACTATTAAAATGCGAATGATGAGCTGTAACAGTAAACAATATCAATTAACATAATTTTTACAGAAGGAGAATATAATAAGTTTAACGCTTACCTTTTGCATTTTGTTCATAAGACTTGATGGTTTTTCGAGCCTCTCTTAGTTTTCGCAAAAGGATTTCATTTTTTCGCTTTTCAATAGTTAACTCCTGACTGAGTTGAGCTTTGCTCTTTGATTCTAAAGAATTCAAAACACTATAAGAAAGAACGTTTATGGAAAAAATATAAATATAACTTAGCAATGTGAACTTTTAATTTCGTTAACGGAATAATTAAAATTACAATTGGAATTCTCGAATTACAACTGAATTCAAATTACAACTGAAAAATGTGTATGTAGTATGTCGATTGCAGAGGCCGTCGCCATACAAACACGAAAATTTACGAGCAAGTCGCAAAATATTTCTTTTTGAGTTGGCATTTTATTTTTTTTTTTATTTATATATAGTTATTAATAAGAACAAGGAAACTGATGAGAAAAGGCTGTTTTGAAAGAAGGGCTATATTTTAAAAACGCCAACGAAGAAATTTTCTTCGAGTGAATTGGATGACGAATTTCTAGTTCAGACGTAAAAGTTTGCTGGAATAAAATGAAAATGTTATTGCTGAACTAAATTAAGAGAAAAATTATATTGAATTAACTTTTTGACGTCTGTCGGTCATGGAAAACATTTCTTGTGTTTGAGAGATATTTATGTCCTTAATAGCTTAGAATACCTTTAAGAGTCATTAATATATATCAAAGAACATTATAAATGTTTTATATAACGCTGACCACGTCAGTCACCCCATAAAAAAGTATAATCCAAACCAAACTGTAGTCAAAAGATGCTGCTAATTTTGATTCGGTCACACAACCAATCACACAAATTAAAAAAGCATTCCAAACCCAAAAGTAATGGCACAATTATATAAAATTTTGCCGTTGCAATTACTTCCTTTTCAATTGTAATTTTCGACTCACATATATGTACTCAATAAAGTTTACTTACGAATGATTGAATATAGATGTAGATGAAGGTCTTTTCTTTGGATCAGAATGTGTCATAATTTTGATTAGGTCATTAAACTCTCGGCTTAGTGTAGGAATATCGGGAACTTTGTTATCTCTTAAATTATGCCACTCTTGGCCGTTTTTTGGCAATGGACCACCACCTGCGGCTTCGTAGAGCGTCAATCCTAATGCAAAAATGTCGGCTTTAAATAAATTCGAAAAATCATCTTCGAGTATTTCTTTTGGTAAATATCGGCAATCTCCCTCTTCCACACATGGTTCCTTTACCGATGTAACATGTCCCAAATCGCCAATTTTGTAAGTTATTAACCACTCCGAATTGCTTAATTCCTCATAAATACCATCCATTCCAGTTTCATAACACTCCTTCGTAAGAGGTGGCATTACCGTCTTATGCACCGACGGAACTTTTGTTAAAAAAATATTTCCTGATTTTAAATCCATATGAACTAAATCGTTGGAATGTATATAACGTAAGCCCTCTGCTACATGTAGTAGAAGAATTCTTAGTTCTGATTCTACTAAACAACGCTTTTGTAGCAAAGATTGTAAACTGCCACCATTACAGTATTCATTTTGTATAAGCATGTGATTGTCTTCGGCCCACGCAGAGTAATACCGAACAACATTATCGTGTTTTCCCAAGACAGCATGAGCCCATACTTCATTAAGCGCTTGTTTCCTGTAGAAAGTAAAAAAATAAAAGTACGTTGATAGATTATAATAATGTTTGATCATGATATCGTTGTTGCTTCCCTTTTGGAAATACTCGGAATGTTGCTTAAATGATACCTTTAAAAATCTTGATAACAATATTCTTACATTGATTCGTTATATATTTATATCAAGAAATGTTGAAAATGATGACGATAAAAACGTGTATGCATTTTTCATATTATGTCGAAGAAAATTGTATTTAAAAAGACAATGAAAATAAACTAAATAAAATGTTAGCGTGCAATGGTTTGTGTCTTGTAATTCTCAAAATTACTAAAGGAAGTAGAACGCAATCCAGCATAACGGGACTGTAAATTTTTTTCTATAATGTTTTTAAACTTGAGTGCAAACTTAATCGAAACTACGTCGAACGAAATCAAATGAAACTTATATCGTAACGTAAAGATTATGTGAAGTAATTTTCACTTTTTCTTTCTTTTTTCTTTCCATTTTTTCTAAATCGTTTCCTACGCCACACAAAACTCAAACTTTTCTTAGTAAGGAGTTTACGCACTTTGCTATTGATTTAATGTACTTCAGCTGCACCTTTCCCAGTTGCTTTGTTTACGAACGTTTACTGTGAGCAGTAATGATTGGCGCACTTCTGTTGTCAGTCTAGTGGTAATTAAGAATATTTTCATTTAGTATTTAGAACAAACGTCATTTTTATCAAACAATTTGCCAATTGGCAAAGTCCAATTGTACAGTTTGCAAAACGAGAAAATATAGAAAAATATGAAGTTTTTGACTTAGTGTGACGGGAGAGTCAGTCTGTTCGTTTTATCGTACTCTTCTTAAAATGAAAAAGACGACAGTTTAATTAAAGTTTAAAATGAATATGTTACTGAGCGTTTTTTTATTTGTCATGACACCAATGCTAAGCCAAGCTGATTTGTTGTGAATACAATGGAATAATATAAAACCAACTTACTCAAATGAACTTCCAGCGACTGGTTTAATGCTTTTTTTAATTGCATAAATACAGCCATCTAAACGATTTAAGCATTGGTAAACCATTCCGAACTCTCCAATCCCAATGACAGATAATTCAACAAATTCCTTTTTATATCGACTAATGTTAGTGTCTTGTAAAGCCAGTCTTTTAGGAGCCTGGTGCATCTCAGTCGACTGTTCATTATCATTGTTCAAATCCTCATCGCTGTTTAAAAACATCTGCAATGAACGGTTACTTAGATTTTCACGACCAATTTGAGTCCGACAACGTTTTTTATTATGAGCCATTAGACCTGAAAATATTGTAAAAAAGTTTTATTAAAAACAAATTATTAATTAATTAACATGAACTCACTATCTGGTGTAAATGGATTCACATTAGCTGTTTGCTGCTGCATAACATTGTCCAAAGCACGATTATGCAATGGTAGGGATCGTGGCCTTTCAGTAGCCTTGAGAAAAAGTGACTCCTGCCTTTTGGTAATATCTGAAGCTGCTGCCAATGACAAGTGATTTAGGGCTTTTGCAGACGATTTTTCTGAAATATAATAAAAATATAGTGAAATTCGTGGATTGTTAAGAACATCTGCAGAAGAGGGATGCACATGCCACCTTTAAGGATTCCTTTTGGTTTGACCTGAACATTTTCCTAGTGATATGTATTCCAAGTCGTTAATTTATGTGACAAAAATTACGAAATACTTCGCAGAGTAAATTTGTAGTCCTATTTTTACTACCGACGTCTCAGGGCTATCGACGTATTTATGTCTGTGCTGAACCTAAATATACCTATTTAACACCCTTTACTTTTATTCTTAATTAAAATCAAAAACGAGTTATATTCGGTACCATACGATGTAATATAAAAGAGCAAGGGCATACCAACCAAAATAATGTAAGGGAGCAATGACATAAATATTTGGAAACAAAAACGTCTGTCTCATCAAGGGATAGACAAAAAACATCAAGTTCCAGTTGCGAATAACTTCAAACCAACGTACTAACCTTTGGCAGGCCCGCAGTGTTCCAAAATAGTTTTTGGTGTTGCTGGCGTGTCGAAAAGCCTCAACGCACGTACTTTGCGATATGGAGGCGATATAGACATAGTTGTTGGTGTTTTGGCACTATCATTGCTGTTTTCGGACTTCGCCTTGAATGGACTATCGTCACTACCACTTGTCCCTTCGTCGTCCTCATCACGGCTTGGGGAGGCAAACCTTAATTTTCGTGGCAAAATAGTAGTGCACACAGGAGAAACAGGTACTGGTGGCGATGAAGATGGAGAACACATTTCAATTTCAAGCTGTTCTATCGAACTACCACCACTTTTGTTTTGTAAACGTGATCGAAATGCCATCTTATTAAAAAGTATTGGTAGAAATATTGTTGTTGAACAATTTGTCAGTTATATATTACGTATGCTTTTAAAATATTTTATTTTAACACAATTCACATGAAAAATGCTAAACAAAACAGTACACACAAAGCAAAAGTAAAGGAATTAAATTGTAATTTAAAAAACTTTCGTACTAAATTTGTGCTAAATGAGCATGAAGCGTTGCCACTTAATTTTTAAAATATCAAATATAAATAAGGATGTTCACATTGAGAAATTAGTCGTACGTTATTGCCATATAATAGCGCCCATGGCAAAATTAACAAGGTAATCTCATTTGCCAAATCGGTAATGGCAACACTTTTTTATGTTGGAACTCAACTCTCATTTGCAAATATATTTGTATGAATTCCAAAACTATTAATAATTCTGAGTTTTTTGTATATACGAATGTGTCAATTGTCAGAAATACACAAAATATCGTATCATGGTGACAAATTATATTTTTTTCTATTCTACCATTCGCATTGTCCTCGCGATCAATTTCTTCATGATACAATTTCCTTTTATATAATGTTTAATATTTGAGAATTTTAAACCTTAAATAATATTATATTTTTTGCCACAATACACAAGTTCATTTTTAATGTGAAAGTAGGATGATATATTATGAAAAAAATGTATATTATATTTTTGCATTAGATTACCTTGCATAATTTTGCCATGATAGCGAGTGTACAAATGCTTTTTATAAGACATAATTTAAAAATCACAATATGTTTAACATTTTACCTTATATTTAACATTTTATATTAGCTTGATTTGCGGAATCCTTAAATTAACAAAGTTGCTTTTTCCCTCTACTTTTTCGTACGTGTCCTTTTCAAACGAACAAAGAGATGACTCTATATTGCCGGCTAACTCCGCAAACTTTCTTTGGACAGGTTCCATCCCGACAATAAAACCAAGGTATCTTAATTCCCTGAAACAGAACTGGGACTTAACCCAATCGTTAGATTCGCCCTCTTGAGGCATTCTGCAACCTCTTTCAGTAATTTCAAATGATCTTCAAGCTATCCTGATATTATAAGGAGATCATGTAGTTAAATGAACACATTTTCTTTTAGATGTGATGGTATAACCTTATCCATAAGCCTACACAAGCGTTCAGCCGCATCGCAAAGTCCGAAAGGCATTACCCTCAATTGGTATAAAGGAACGCTTTGTAGGGTTTACTCTCGTCTACTAGTTCGATTTGCCAGAAAGCGTATTTCAAATCGACATTGTTATGTAATGCGCTTCATCGATTCTACTCATAATGCCGTCTATGTTTTGGAGTCTTTGTAGACTGCCGTCTTTACTGTCAGTTTATTCAATTTTCAGGCATATAAGTAAAACCTGATCTTTCCATGTTTTCTGGGCCAATACTTTCTCTATTATATTTAGCATATTGTCAACTTCCTGATAGACAATATCCTGTACCGCCGAGAGATTGGATAATACTGGTCTTTGACCGGTTCAGCACCCTCGATAAGCTTTATCGAATGCTTTTCCAGGCTTGTCTTACCAAGCCTTCTCTTCGAAGAGAACTATTCTTGTTGTTCTTTGGACAATTCGTGAGGGTTTAATTTTCTCCGTCGACAAAATATATTTTCGAAACTATTCTAAATTCATATCCTTCACTGTTCACTACCGGTGGTGGTTTTTATATTAGAGAATATCGGTTTTATGTCGCAGTAAAAACTTTCTTTTAGAAAGGGCTGTAGGCCTTTCCCAATAAGCTTACTAAAGCACCGGTGTCAAGCAGGCACTTTAATTTATGGTCCTCCATGTCGATTTCCGCAAAAGGGTTGGGGTCATGTTGGGTTCCCTGTTAATACTTGGCATTTTTTTTTTTTTTTCATTTGGAGATACATTTTTTTCGTACTTTCTTCCACTGACTTTTGTATATCTTGACTTTCAAATATCTTTTGTCTCACTTTGATATAATTTTCTTTTCGTTCAGTGAGAAATAAGTAGTGTCTCATACCCGGAAAAATTTGGTTGCTGCCTTTTGGTTTTTCTGGGCTCAAACGTTTTGCTACAGGGATGTTTAATTCAGACTAGGTCTCCCTTCCTGATCCCCGCCCTTGTTTCCATTTCCCTGCTAGAAAATTCTACATCTGGGGGTAGTAGTACCAGGGTTGGCACACTTAAAACAAATAAAAAGTAAACTAGACGAGGAATTGCTTAGCACTAAACTTATATCAAAATGGAAAAAGGAAGCGTTCTCATTTACACACAAAAAATAGTCAATTTGGATTAAAAAAAACAAAAAGCAAATATAAATAAATCATACAATAAATATATATCTTAGAAACTAAATATATGAATATTAATTTGTTTGACGATTTTATTTTTGCTCTCGATCAGTTTTCACATAACAAAAAGCCAGTTCCTTTTATATGGCAATGACTTTGGAGGAGTTTACTCGGCGTATTCTAACCGTTATACTTAAATTCGCTCGAGCACAAAAGTCCAACGAATAAGGTTTCCGCTGGCCTAAACCAAACAAACTGTGTCTTAATATTATTCCATACCTTTCTTGTTCTCTGGTTCAATCACACGTCTGGGGATAAAATCGGATTTCGGCCACTTTTTTTATAAAAACAGCCTGCAATAGACACCTAAACTTCTTCATTTGTAAGACGCCGCTTTCTATGTTTACCTTTATCTTAATCAAATTAATGTTTGGCAGATATCGTTTTTATTATCCTTCTATTCAGCTTATAATCTTAAAAAAACTTTTTACTTAATTCCCAAATAATGTATATTTGGCAAACTCTTTTTTGTTCGTCTGTCAAATGACGAGAAGAAAATTGAAAACAAAGAAGACAATACGTTTTAATAAACCAGCAGGTGGTATACTTCGTATCGCTTCCAAAAATATTTTATTTTACTAATATAAATATTTTTCTTTTTTTTCAGTTGTTGCCGTATGTTGCTGTGTGAAGGAATCCCAAACAACTTTTGGTGGAACCATGGTACAATAAGGAGGTAAAACAGCTTCATAAAACTACGGAAATATATCTCTGAGTCTTTGTTCACTTCCTGTCAGAATTATTCTAAATTATATGCAAAAAGTTGTTTTCTTTTATTTCACATTCTCCTCATTTTTAAAATAACTTTCAATTCCACGGCAAAACTAGTTAATATCTTCAAAGCGCGACCCAAAATCTACGTTTCTTCCAATTTCTTTTAATTTTTTTTATTTTCTTGGCTTAATATGTCATTTTTATTTGTTTATATATGTGTTTTCTTTTCAATAACAAAAAATTGTTCAGAAAATATTCAAATTCGGGTGTTTCAAAATGTTTATTTCAACGTAATCATCGACAAAATCTAGAGTTTTTGTAGCGAAATAATCCTTTAGAGATATGTAGTACATGATTTTGAAAAGAAGTGTTGACCTTTCATTCAGTTATCGTGTTTTTAAATTATTTATTCAAAATAAATGCAACAAGTTGTTTGATTTTTTATTGTTTTGATACTAATTTTGACATTACAAGCCAAACAGGTTGACCTCTATACTTGCAATTTTTTCAAAGTTGGCCTACCTTCTCTTCATTGTACCATGATTTCTACTACCTATAACCATGGCGTGGCTAAGCATAATCGCAATAGAAGGATACTCGCAACAATTGCCTTTTTACTGGTATGGCTAAACATAGCCGGCATTTGAAGATTACCCGCAGCAAGTGCCTTTGCCAAGAATATATGCACAACGCCCGGGTTTTAAACCTATAATTGGGCTCAATTATTTAGAGGTTTAGAGTCTTCCACGAATGCTTAAACCTTACCTTAGTAGCCTCTACGCAATTTTGTTTTTGCTTGGTTGGCAAATTCTTGCTGACTTTGAAAAAGAGCTATAGTAAGGCTAGCTATTGTTCTCTTTTGAATTGTGTTGTTATATTCTATAGGGAAAAAGTATGATAATTTAAAATGACAATGCGCTGGTAACTTTCTTTTGATTCTGGCAAACAGCTGGTATCCAAAAAAAGAACAATATGGGAAAAGGTTACTGCGTCATTTAAAGAAACGACGCTGGTATCGTGTCATTTGTGACGCCAATTGACCGAGTACTTATTTTTTTGTGGGGTAAATCGTAACACGGAGTTTACACAAATGCAACGAATCAGAGTTGCATTTTACTTCATAAAAGAATAAGAGACTTAGGTTGACTTACATAAATTTCGGCGCACAAATTATCACCTTCTGTAGAAGAAAGTAAAAGTAGTAAAAGTAAATGTACCTGCATCATCACTACTAGCACTAGCAGTAAGTTTCATAACCAATTTACTGTAATTTATCCACCCACATGATATAATATGATTCCATTATTATTACAAACCATCCCAACCTTGGGATTTGTAGTTTTACACACAACTGCAGGCATCAGATTTGCATTCATAAGGAATGGATAGCGAATACGACGTACGTAGTTATTGCATTAACATCAAATTCATTTCCGCCATTACCAACAGCAAACAAACAACCTAAAGACTGCGATCAAAATGAACCAAAAAGACAACGTCTTGAAAATGCACAGTCACCAGTGAACATAAATATTGCCAATCTAAAAGAGTGATAATTGATTAATAATCATAATTATCCTAACAAATTTGGAACTGGTATTGGTATTTGGCAGCTTCTGCAAAAAAAAAGATGAAAATTCAAAAACCTGCAAAACCAGAGATAGCAGACCCAAATCTATATATCTTGGTGTCCTCCAATTTTTGTCTTCAATGTTAATATGATGAGGTCGATTGAGTCACTAAAAGCATCAATATCTCAATTAAAAGTAAAACATAAACAAAATAAAGAGCTAAATATTCTTGTCAGACCCAAAAGTTCATGCTTCCATGATGGTCATACTGAGGTCAAAAAACATTAACTCCTGGTTGAAGGTACACCAAAAGAGCTGAAACAATATTCAATTCTGAGCCGGGATCTCAACGCATTTTCAGATATCAAGGAAATCAAAGAAGGGTTGGATAGCCTAGTTCCTGACACAGTGGCAAATTTTCCAAAATTTAAGACTTGGAAAGAAAAATCTACTTATGGACCGACCATAGATCTTTTTTATTTCTTACCCTCAACAAATGCTCACTAGTTGATGCTAGTAGACGACTTGAATTAGAAAATAAGCTTCATCTTGAGAACATAGACTTT